GGGCCCATTGAGTTCTATCAGCCCCGCGGGTCCCCCGAGCCGCGTGGCCCCGAGGGGCCTGGTCAGCCCTGTTCGGGCGCGACGGGGGCGCTGGCTCTCGGATCGGCTAGCACCCCCGCCGCCCCCCACCGCCTTAGGGGAGGGGAGGGGGGGGGGAGGGGGCAGGATAACACCTCGCTATCATGATTTCCTAACCCCCCGCCGCTCGCACAGCCGGCGGTATCCTGTGAACTGCACGACCTCTCGATATTCGAAACACCTGCCCACGCGCGCGCCCCCCCCCCCCGCGCGCCCGCGTGCAACTGATTCACCTGCGTGCGTAAAAGGCCCACCAACCACGCGCGCGCCACGGCACGCCCGCGCGCGCGCGCGCATTTTTTTGGGCGGCTACCTATCGCAAGGAGACGACGGAGACAACCGTTCTTATATCCAGTTGCAGTCGACACTCCCGCACAGCTGCACACCGCAACTGAGGTGGGCTACCGCTGTAGGGCTGGCAGAAGCCGCACGCCGAGCCTGCGCGAAACGCCGCCGGCGCGCGGCGGTCAGTCGCGGGCCGGCGCTCACGCCAAGGCGGTGCCGGAGGGATAACGCCCCCCGGAGGGGTCGCCAAGACCGCCCGCCGGTCCGTGCCAAGGCACGCGCTACCCCCCCGCCCTCCCGAAGGAGCACAGCTGTCAAGACAGGGTCCTACGACCGCCCTGGGAGGCATCGCGACCCTTCCCAGCGCAGCCGCAGTAGGCACGAGGGGCACAGGCCTGGGAAGAGGGGGCTGCTCGTAACCAGATGCCTGCGTGGGGTTGGCCGCGCTGGCCCACTAATCATCACGGGGTGGTCCAGACGAACAATGCCGCCCCCTGGCGGACCAGCTGCGTTGCCCCTGCCCGGCCAGGGGGCCTGGGTGGCACAATGGGTTTGCTCTTGTCCGACTCGGCGGTCTGTGGGCGCGCCAGCGTGCGGACGCGGCCGTGCTTGAGCTCTGTCTGGCGCCTCTTGGGAACGGTGCTCCGTGCTACTAGTCGCCGCGAGCCCAGCAGGGCCCCAGAAGCCCGCAGGGGCCGGTCGCCCCAGGCAGGGCGGCGAGCCCCACTGGCGGCGGCAGCCGCCGCTCTGGCAGCGGCAGCGGCCGCCGCGGCGGCGCGGCGGCCGCCGCGGCGGCGCTGGCCGCGGCGGGCCCCGGCCTGCGCGGCCGCGCGGGCCACGGCCCCGCTAGTTCGGGCCGAGCAGCCAGCGGCAGCGGCGGCGGCCGCGTCGGCGGCGGCCGCGGCGGCGAGGCCAGCAGCGGCGCCGGCGGCCGCGACAGGCCGCGCGGCCGCGGCGCTGGGCGGGGGCCGCGCGGGCGGCACGCGGTAGCGGCTACGGCGCGGGCGCGGCCCTGCTGGGCGGCAGGCCGGGCGGCGGCAGGCCGGGCGGCGGCGCCGCGGCGGTCGCAGCGGTCGCGGCGACGCCGGCGGCGCAGGGGGCGCCCGCGGCGCTCGCGGCACCAAGCCCGCGTTGCCGCAGCGCGGCGGCGGGGGGCCGCGCGCAGCGCCCGCGGCGGCGGGCGCGGGGGCCGCCGCGGCGCCGGGGGCGCCAGCTGCCGCCACCGGCAGCCGCCTCCGCGGCGCGGGCGCCCTCGCAGCGGCGCTGGCGCCGCCGCCGCGCCGCGGCAGTCTTTATCGGCCGCGGCGCGGGGGGCCGGGGGGGGGGCGCGGGAGAGGCCCCCCCCCGCACACACGCACACAAGCATATGCACACTCACGTTTTCACACGGGCGCACGCGCACGCACGCGCGCCTTCGCACGCGCGCGCGCACGCTTGCACACGCACGCGCGCACGCACACGCACGCGCTCACACCTCACACACGACGCACCACACACACAAGACACATCACACACAAGCACACACACACCACACACATCACACACCGCGTACTCAACACACTACACACAGCACGCGCAAACACAACGCAATACTCAACACACACACACAGACGTACACACGACACACACACAACACACAAACCATCTTACGCACGCAGGCGCCCCCCCCCCCCGCGGCAGAGCCACCCATGTCCCTTCCCATTTGAGCTGAAGTTGCGGCGGTAGTTTTTAGAACTCACGCGCCGGACCGTGCGAGATGGCTGCAACTGCACCGCGTTTGCGAAATTGATTGCGAAGGTCACCGCGGGCCGTTGGCGAGGCCCCTGGCGAACCTTTTGCTGGCGAGACACCCAGAGACTCTATCGAACGGCCCCAGCGTTTGTCAGTGGTTGGCGCGTGTTCTGCACGGCGCATGTCGGGTGCGGGCGGCGCGGTACTTTCGACTCCGGGAGGCGATCAGCTGTCCAATGCTCGGTCTCCCGAGGGCCCGCGGCCGGTGGGCGCGGCGTTGCGAGGTGGGCCGAGCAACAAAAATGTGGCGCTGCCGCGGCGCGAACGCGGGCGGCGGTCCGCGGGCTCAGTTGGGAAACGCTGCGCATCCGGCCCCGCTGCATTGTGCGCTCTACGGCTGTGTGACCCCGGAGTCCTCCCGCGTTGCTCGGGTTTTTCGCCCGCATGGTTCCTTGGTTTCCACAAACTGGTCGGGCGTTCGCCCATTAGGTTCCCTGCCCGCTTAACTAGTGCCCCATTTCGCGCGTACTGGCCGCTGCCTTCAGGCTGCTCCCGCAGAGACCCCCCGACAATGTTCGGCACTGGATTCTGGCCCTGCCGGCCAGCCTTGTTAGAGTTCATGCCTGATCGATTTCACCGCCTCCAGATTAGCGAATGCATGTTCACCGTGCATTGCTCAAAGGCATCCCGTTCACGGTTTTCAGCTTCGGCCACCGTTTCGTTGTAATGTCCAAAACCGATTACTGCACCCCCCCTCCAGGATCCCGACTGTCATTAATTCGCGTCCGAATAATTATTTTGCTTTCCGTCCCCCTTGGAAAAATTCCATGGATGCCCATCGATGCCACTTGTATGCGCCTTGGTGCCAGGGAGAATGCCGATGGTCATGTTCCCGTCTTCCGATCAGAGAATGTTTTTTTACATTGGGTTTTTGCCATTGGGTTTTGGAGCTCACCATCGCTCCCGTGGCATACGATCTGTCAGCGGCGCGCCGCCGCCGCGCGCGCGTTGGCGATTTGCATTTGCGCATTCAGCGTCGCATGTCCACATGGGGATTGTTCCGTCATCCGATCAGAGAATGAATTTCTACATTTGGGTTTTCGCCATTGGGTTTTGGAGTTCAACCTCGCCCCCGTTGTATAAAACCTATCAGCGGCATGCCGCCGCCGCGCGCACTGGCGACTGGCATTTGTGAACTCAGTTTCGCATATCCACATGGGGATGTTTCCGTTTTCCGATCAGAGAATGACTTGCTACATTGGGTTTTCGCCATTGGGTTTTGGAGTTCAACATGGCTCCCGTTGTATACAAATCTATCAGCGGCATGCCGCCGCGCGCGCGCGCGCGCGTTGGCGCTGGGAATTTGTGCATTCAGCGTCGCAGATGCACATGGATATGTCCCCGTTTTCCGATCAGATAATGTTTTTTTTTGCATTGGGGTTTTCGTCATTGGGTTTTGGAGTTCAACATCGCCCCCGTTGCATCGAATCTACCAGCGGCATGCCGCCGCCGCGCGCGCGCGATGGCGCTTGGCATTTTTGCATTCCGTGTCGCATATCCACATTGGGATGTTCCCGTCTTCTGATCCGAAATTGAATTGTCACATGGGGTTTTCGCCAATGTTTTTTGGAGATAAACATCGCCCCCGTTATATAACATCTATCAGCGGCATGCCGCCGCCGCGCGGCTCCGCCTGTTTCCGAGGCCCCGCCAGTTTCCCCTGTTTCTCGTTTTCCTCCTTCTCTTCCTCCTCCTCCTCCTTTCATTGCCCTTTGCACGCTTTGCGTCTGCACACACGTTGACCGAGATTGGCAGAGATTGTTCGGCGTGTTTCAATGCGGCCTCGAAAACGACATCGACCGAATGGTTAAACAGTGCTTGCGTTTCCCCCTCCACGCGAATGCCAGGTTATCCCGAGCCCCCGACGGACGGTGTTTACACCTGACATGTGGCTGGACGCATCTATTTCACGCCCTTCGGTATCACAACCACGTTGGACTTTGGTTTTGTGCGTCGTGTGTTTTTCGGTCACACCCAACTCAGGGGTTTAGGCAATCCTTGTCAACCCCACTTGATCATCAGGGCCAGGCGCGTGTGTCTTGATACGACTGGCCGCGACTTGTTCCCCAAATGCTGAGCACAGCCGTTATGTCACTACGTGATCGCGGACATCTTGGAAATCCTGGATCCTCACCCGCGTGACCTTCACTTTCCTGATCCTCATTCTCGTGACCTTTACCCTCCTGATCCTTACCCTCTTGATTTTCACCCGTCGCACCACTGCCGCCCCCTCGGTCTCACCATCGTCGTCGGCCACAGGTGCACGTTCTTCTTCTATACGCAGAAACTTCCGATCACCCGCGGGGCGGCCGTCTAGTATGTTGATTATCCTTCGGCGGGTAACGGTCGCCACCCCGGTCGACCTGCCCCCCCGCGCCCATGTAACGTTAACGATCGTACGTGACTGCGGAGTGGCGGGCTTTGACCCCACACATGCAGGTGCCTGTGTGCATAGTGTGGCGATCGTATTGCACCTCCGCCCCGACGTGCTCCACCACGTCCAGGCGGCATTCCGTTACCTGGGCCCCCACCCGTCGCCCCCGGGTGACGATCGTTACCAGACATGTTTGAAGCAACGTCTCCGTGCACAGCACATGGTGGGCTTGTTTTCCATTGCCACCACCATAAGTTGAGGGGGAGGGGTCCTCCTCTTCTTCCTCTTCTTCTTCGTATCATCATTATTATTATTATTCCTCCTCTTCCTCCTCCTCCTCCTCATCCTCCACTTCCTTCCTCTTTCCAACGTATGGTGGTGGTGGTGGTGGTGGAAAACAGTCCCATCAGCACAGGATCGATCATGATCGGTTCAGTGTTCTTCTTGGTCGGCTCCTCTGCCAGAAGGGGAGGCTGGGCCGTGTGGCCGCCGCCGCCGCCCCCTCGCGGGCGCAAGCGGCCCCACGCCGGCGGCGGTGGCGCCTCGCGCGAGCCGCGTGGGGCCGAGGGCGCCGCCGAGGAGCGGGTCAGGGCCAGGGGCAACGCCAGGGGGGATCAGCTCAGGTGGCTCGAGGTTCGAAGGTTCGAGGTTTTCGGGCACTCTCGCTGGTTCTCGGCGGGTCTCCGGCCACGGGGTGCCTTCCAGCGGCTGCGCCTCGGCGAGGGCGTTCCTGGGGTGCCCGGATCGTCACGAACACCCGCCAGAGAGCCGAGTCTCGCCCGAAAATCTGAGGGGCAGCGTGAGGGGGATCTGGTCAGGGGGGGGATGCATCGACACCCCATCGCAAATTGATCGCCGATGCCGGTCCGATGGCCCACACCGTCCAGGAGCGTGTGGTTCTGTTGTCTTGGGCCTATCGGTAATGTACCGCCGATTGCAGGTCGATGTTCTCCCCCTGTGCGCGGCGCGAATGCGACAGCCACGGTTTGAAAAGACCCGTTTGCATTCTTACAGTTATTGGAGATGTCAATCCCAGAGTACGAATGCAGCGGAAACTTCGAGCAACGCTTGGCCCACCCTGCCGACACGTCTAGTGGTGCGACGAAGAAGAATGATTCGCCCAACAGTGTTTGCACTTAGGGTTTCTTACTCCTGTTCCAAAGAACTGGGTCTGGGTGTCGGTCTGGCGGATCCGTACTCGCCGTCGCCGCCTCGTCTCCGTTTCGTCGCCGCCCGTCGTCTGGGCCTGGGTGTCGGTCAGGCTCCTCCGTGCGCATCTTGTCGCCGCCCCGTCGCCGCTTGGATTTTACAATTTAGGTTGCACCACATGGATTGCACAGCAATTTGGATTGCACCACGTAGACTGCACGGCATTGATTGCACCACATATATTGCACCACGCATATTGCACAACGTCGATTGCAGCACATCTATTCAATGCATATATTGCACCACATAGTTTGCACGACAGAAGTTGTTCAACATCTATATGTATGTATGTATGTATGTATGTATGTATGTATGTATGTATGTATATATATATATTATATATATATATATATATATATATATATTATATATTATGTGTATATATGTGTATAGTTGTGTATATGTATACCCATCGGTCGGAAAAAAGTGGGTAGGAACATGACGTATGACAAAGGTGAAAGTAACTTGGGTTTCCGCGCGCCTGAAGTGACGGACACGGTGAAGCCACTCGGCCATTGAAGTAGGTAGGTGCCTACAGTATATTGGAATTGGGGACACCAAACATGCATATGATACCGGGGAACAACCCAATCATATTGTTTAGGGTTGTAGGGTTATATGGGCTATATGGGCTATAGGGCTATTGGGCTATAGGGTAATAGAGCTACACGGCCATAGGGCATAGGGGTAAAGGGCTATAGAGCTATAGGGCTATACGGCTATAGGGCTATACGGGTATTGAGCTACAGGGCTATCGGGCTGTAGAGTTTTAGAGGTGTAGGGCTATTGGGTTATAGGGCTATAAGGCACCCCCGGGCACCCGGGCACCCCCGGGCACGCCCGGGCACCCGGGCACCCGGGCACCCCCAGGCACCCCCTTTTTGATCGTCGGGTGGCTGTAATTGCGGTAGGAGCGTTATCTGATCGACGAAATCGCCTCAACGAAGATATGATTAGTTTCATCGCATATGGTCCCACGTACACAACATACATGAGATAGCAATGTTTGGTTTCATCTACACAAGGTTGTGTTAGATATGTCTGTTCAGCGACATACCATGCATAATATCCGACTACCGAATGAACCTATCAAGTGTGATGTCGGTTGACACTGCCAATACATAGCGACAAATTCAAACCACCCTATGATGCTTAGTAGTTAACTCAGCTCAGTCGCCGCCGGGCTTGGGAAACTTTTTTGTTTACATATAGTGGGCATATATATATATATATATGTATATTTGTGTATATATATACACATGTGTATATATACATATAGTTAAAACTATTTGGAATCTCAAAAGTGGTCATGATTTTAGCTTTCCAGGACAAGGCGTCGTAGGTCCACGCGCGCGCAGCCGCCCTCAGCGCGCGCGCTTGCAGCGGGGGGAGGAAGGGGGTGTAAGCAGGCTACCCATTCGCCCCCCCCCCCCCCTTCCCGCCTTCGCTCCTCGGCGGCAGCCCGCCATCTCCATATCCCCCCCTCGGCGGCGCGAACCCGCCCTTCTTGCCTTGGCGGCAAGATCACCTTTTGCTTTCTCTCTCCTCGGCGGCATGTCCGCCCTCCCCCCCCGCCCCCCTCCCCCCCCCCCCGCCACAGCCGCCGCGCGCGCCCCCGCCCCCTATCATCCTTGCCCGCCCTCTCCCCTGCGCCCCTCTCTATCCCGCGGCGGCGTATCCGCCGGCTGCAAAGTTTTTTTTTTCTTTTCTCACGTGATGGCGACCGCGCGCAGCCATCGTCCAGCTGCCGCCGATGCGCCGTCCAGGCTGCCGGGATCAGCTCGGCGAGCATCGCGGCGACGTCGTTGCGCGGCCGCCGCAGCGACGCGCCCGGGCACCGCGCGCGCGCCCGCTCCAGGGCCTCTACCAGCAGGTGCGAGGCGGCGGCGGCGCGCGCGCAACAGTGCACGACGCGCGCCTCGCAGTCGCCCGGGAGAAAATATTGTCGGCGGCAGGTCCGCGGTTATTTGTGGGGTCAGCGCGCTTGCCGGCCCCGGAGAAAAAAAACAATCGGGGCGTGGATCACGTGTGGTTTGCACCGTTTGTCCTGGCTGCCGTGCGCCATGCCGTCGATCGACGCCTCCGTGCTGGTCCAGACTTTCGCCCGAGGGGCGGGGGGGGGGGCGGAATGGCCGCCTGGGGGGGGGGGGGGGGGAGGAGCGAGGGAGGAGGAAGAGGAGGAGGAGGAGAGGAGGTGGGGATGGATGATGATGATGATGATTATGATGAGATGATGATGATGATGAGGATGATGGAGGATGATGATGATGATGATGAGGAGGAGGTGGATGAATGGGCGAGGAGGAGGAGGGAGGCGAGGAGGAGGAGGAGAGGAGGAGGCAGGAGGAGAGGAGATGTAGAGGAGCAAGGAGGAGGAGGAGGAGGAGGAGGAGGAGGAGGAGGAGGAGGGAGGAGAGGGAGGAGAGGAGGAGCAAGAGGAGGAGGAGGAGGAGCTGAGGAGGAGTAGGGAGGAAGGAGGAGGAGGAGGAGGGGGAGGAGCAGGAGCGAGGAGGAGGAGGAGCAGGAGGGAGGAGGAGAGAGGGAGGAGGAGAGGAGGAGGATGGGGAGGATGGAGGAGAGGAGGAGGGGAGGAGGAGGAGGAGGAGGAGGAGGAGGAGGAGGAGGAGGAGGAGGCGGAGGAGGAGGAGGAGAGAGGAGGAGGAGGAGTAGAAAGAAGAAGAGATGGTGATGAGGAAGGAAGGAGGAGAAGGAGGAGGAGGAGGAGGAGAGGAGAGGAGGGGCAGGAGGAGGAGCGGCGGCGGGGGGGGGGGGGGCAGAGGAGGAGGAGGAGGAGGAGGAGGAGGAGGAGTCCTCGCGGCGTTGTAGACGGCTGTACGTGGCTACAGGGCTTCCTGGCCATCTTTTTCTCAAGGTTACTATGGTTGTATGTGATTGGGCATATTGAGGGGTTTGGGCTCATTGTTTGACTTCGTATCCTTTCATCGAGTGCGTTACACCAATTCCCGCAAGTGATACTGTATGTGGCTGCAGCGTGGTCGGCGCCCGCGGGATTAAGTTGCCCCGGCTGATCTGTGCGAGGGGCTTCCTGGTACCAACAGCGAGGAGTTCGAGCGTAGGTGTGATTGTCCCTCCACATTAAGAGCGGATCTTGGGGCCCAGAGTGTGCGCCAGGAGCAGGAGGAGGAGGAGGAGGAGGAGAAGGAGGAGGAGGAGGAGGAGGAGCAGGAGGAGGAGGGGGATGATGATGATGATGGATGAGATGAGGATGAGATGAGGAGGAGGAAGAGGAGGGGGGGGAGGAGGAGGAGGGGAGGAGGAGAGAGGAGGAGGAGGGAGGAGGAGGAGGAGGAGGAGGAGGAGGTGGGGATGGGGAAGGAGAGGAGGAGGAGGAGGGGAGGAGGAGGAGGAGGAGGGGGAGGGAGGAGGAGGCGGAGGAGGAGAGAGGGGAGGAGGAGGGGGAGGAGGGAGGAGGAGGAGGAGGAGAGAAAGGAGGAGGAGGCGGAGGCGGAGAGGAGGAGGAGGAGAGGAGGAGAGAGTAGAGCAGGAGCAGGAGGAGGAGGAGGAGGAGGAGGAGGAGGAGGAGGAGGATGTGGAGGATGATGATGATGATGGTGATGAGAAGATATGATGATGATGATGATGATGAGAGTGGAGGAGGAGGAGGAGGAGGAGGAGGAGGAGGAGGAGGAGGAGGAGGAGGAGGAGAAGAAGAAGAAGAAGAAGAGGGAGGAGGGGGAGAGGATAAGCTAGGTGCGCTAGCGTCATATCTGACATTCTACCCCTCACCCCCCAACCCTTACCATGGTGTAGATATCCTCTCTTGTTGAGTGGCTTGCGCCATTCCGCCGATCCCCTCCAGGAATGAGAGCTTCGACGTTGTTGGGAGGTGTCTGGTGTAGATGAGGGACTCTTGGGATACTTCTCTGCTGGTTCCGGATGGCTTTTCGAAGGTATTTGGGATCTCGTGGTACGCCTCTCGGGCTCCTCTGGGCCGCAGTTCTGATGCCCTCTGAAGGCTTTTTTGGGGCCTCCTGGGGTGTTTCTGGGGCTTCCTGGGGGGCCTCTTGGAGCCTCCTTGGAACCTGTAGGGGGCCTCTGGGGGCTTTTGGGGCTTTCTTGGGGCCTCCTGTTGCCCTCCCGGGGGGTAACGCTAGATTGTGAATGTTGCGTCCCCACTTTGGGCCGCTCTTGGGGCCGTCTTGGTGGCCTCTTTGGTTGTTTTGGGGGCTTCTGGCGCCGTCTCGGGGCCCTCTTGGGCCGTCTTGAGGCTGCCTTGGGGGCTCCTTGAGCGTCTTGGGGAGATGTCCGAAATGTCCTCGCCCGCTGGTCTGAGGCGAAAATTGTCCTCGGAGATATCCTTACCCTCTGGGGTAAAACAGGCTACAAAGATATCTTTGGCCGCTGGCTTG